ACACCCTCGCTTATGTCGACGCTCTCAAGCACTCCGACCTCAGCGACTGGCGCTCCTTACAGGAGGTGAGTCGCCGCCCCCCGAGTCTTTCTTGAATGTCGGCATCTTGTGACGAATGACAGACTCTTGTTATCGTGGTGAATGTCAGTCCCTTATACTTGTGATGAATCTCAGCCCCTTGCATAAAAAATATATATTGAGTGATGCCGTCAGCGTCGACTGGATTGTACTCACCATACTCATCTTGTGAATGCTGGTTAATTGTGCACCCCATACTCATCCTGTAAGCAGTACTTTATTGTGCACCCCATACTCATCCTGTAAGCAGTACTTTATTGTGCACCCCATACTCATCCTGTAAGTGGTAGTATGTTGTGCACCCCATCCTGTGAGCGGTTGTACAAACAATAGGATTACAGTGGATTTTAATCATGTACTTAAAATGAAATACTACAATGATGAATATTCTGCCCAATCGGTGACGTCTGGCGACGTATGGTGACGTGCGGTGACGTCTGGCGACGTGTGGTGACGTCTGGCGACGTATGGTGACGTCTGGCGACGTGTGGTGACGTCAGGTTGCAGCGCGGGCGGGCGCTGGGTCATGTTCGGGAGCGGTGACGACGTCTGTGTTGACAGCGCTGTACCTGCTGGGGCTGTTTAACCTGTGTGTGGCGTCACCAGCCTCCTGCTGTGTTCCTCCCGCCGCTGGACGACGACGGAGACGCAGGTACGTTCCTCAGCACGGGTTAATTGGACCCTCCCTGGGTGGTGACCTCTTTCCACGGGAAGAGTTTTCCGGTTGGGCGGGTTTCCTATCATCTAATGTCCCTGTCCACTTAGCGGTACATATCATTACGTGCCCAGGATGGAAATTATGGGAATATCTTCATTGAGGCTGGGAATGTTGGGAAGATTTCTCAAGAGGCTGTTAATGTTATGAAGATCTACCTGGAGGATGGAAATGTTGGGAAGACCTTCCATGACTAGAGATGGGATGCAGGCGATGAGTCACAATAACGTGGCTAAAGTATGTTGACCAGACCACACACTAGAAGGTGAAGGGACGACGACGTTTCGGTCCGTCCTGGACCATTCTCAAGTCGATTGAGACTTGATGGACTTGAGAATGGCCAGACCACACACCTTCTAGTGTGTGATCTGGTCAACATAGAAATGGGATGTCCCAGGAGGCTGGGAATGCCAGGAAGATCTTTAGCCTTGAAGGCTACAGTTTTGCGATATGCGAACAGGCTATTTTATTACTATACTATTAATCGTAAGTTGACCAGACCACACACTAGAAATTGAAGGGACGACGACGTTTCGGTCCGTCCTGGACCATTCTCAAGTCAATCGACTTGAGAATGGTCCAGGACGGACCGAAACGTCGTCGTCCCTTCAATTTCTAGTGTGTGGTCTGGTCAACATACTTCAGCCACGTTATTGTGACTCATCGCCTGCCTATTAATCGTAACCCTGTTTCCTGCTGTGGTGGCCGTGTACTGACGGTTGATGACGTGTGATGTGCTGGTGACGCCCCGGTGACAGGACGGTGGACCCAACGTTACCACCGCTACTCAACAACCTCCAGTACAACCTCTCCAGCCTCTCCCTTGAACAGTTCCGCGCTCTGCCCCACGTCACCACTCCCGACGGCGGCCGCGTCCCTCTCCACATCTCCGTTGTCGAACAGGTCAGTGTGTCCGCCCGCCGGTCTCAACAGTGGGCGAGTTTGGTGAAGGAGAGTTGGGGTACCCCAGGGTGTCTCTGGTGCCCGGGTAGGTCATGAAGGTGATGAATATGGTATAATGAAAGTCACAGTAATGATAATATTCGTGTGTAGATGGTTAGTGCTGATGGTGGAGTAGTTAAGATGGAGTAACGTATACAGGTTTGGGTGACAAGATTCCAAGAGTCTGGTGGTTTCTGATACTTGTATAACATAGTCTTGGTTGTAGCAGTCTGATGTTGGAAATGGTATGACGTGGTGATAGCCGAGGCGACGATGCTGGCGGAGCCTATTAGCACATAGTGCTGAAGGTGGCCGGAGACGGAGAGCTTGTGCGAGAGCTGGGGTAGAGAGCTCCGATGTGGAATGAGAGCAGAGAGCTCAAGTGCGGCCGTGAGTGAGACTTGTAGTGTATGGTGTGAGAATTGGAACTAGACTGTGGATGTTGTTGTTATAGATTCAGCTACTCGGAACAAGTTCCAAGTAGCATGGGCTATGGTGAGCCCGTAACTTACCTGGCACAGGAGCAGGGCAAGAAGCACGGGCTATGGTTAGCCTGGGTGGATGGTTGATTGATTGATGAAGATTAAGCCACCCAAAGGGTGGCACGGGCATGAATAGCCCGTAGGTGGTGGCTCTTTTGAGCCATTACCAGTATCAAGAGCTGATACTGGAGATCTATGGAGGTGCGACTGCACCCTGCGTGACGGGAGATGTCTCCCGTGGACAGTGGATGGTTGATTGATTGATTGATGAAGATTAAGCCACCCAAGAGGTGGCACGGGCATGAATAGCCCGTAAGTGGTGGCCCTTTTGAGCCATTACCAGTATCAAGAGCTGATACTGGAGATCTGTGGAGGTGCAACTGCACCCTGCGTGACGGGAGATGTCTCCCGTCTGGATGGTTTGTGGCCGGGCGCTTATATCTACGCCTACTCCACCTGACCTTTGTGTTGGTCCCTGGTAGGGTGATCATTTGGTGTGATAAGAAGCCTTGCTGCTTGCTGGAACTCCTCGGGAACATGGATTAGTATAATTACACGTCATTATTGGTTAGTGAATAGACTCATTAACGATCATGAGCTTTATTGGGAAACTTTTTTGATAGTTAAAATTTCTCGGAATATGGTTATAGTGAGGAATTTAGTGTTTAGTATCTTACCTGAATTTACCTGAGGGGCCACCAGCTATCTAGTGGTGTATTATATGAAGATAAGGTCTCCATGCTTGGATACATTAGTCCAAATGACGCACCTGAGAATTGTACAGTTGAATAACTATCATCTTTTCATTGAAAATGGTTAGAATGACGATGGTAGTTTGTAGTAAAGATGAACATGGTGATGATGGGTGTTTAGTAAAGATGGCTACAGTGATGAAGATTGTGTAGTGAAGATATGGCGTGTGTCACCCGAGCATCGCCAGGTACTGTATAAAAGTACCACTCCAGTTATGGTGTAGTCCATAAACCAGTCAGGTACTGTATAAAAGGGTACTTGCATGCATCCCTGGGAACGAGATGAACGCAAAGGAAATGTTATGAAATCTACTTTGACTATTTTGTAAAACAAAATAGTGTTGCCACTGGGAAGTGTGAGGGAGGGCGAGGTGTCGAGCGGCGGGAATGCAAGCGGCATTTCCTCCCATAGTAGCCTAATGGCCGTGTTTCCCGGCGTAAGTTAAGGTGAGCACAGGAGGCCGGCATGACCATAGTTGCTCGCTGTGTGCTTCTCTTGACAATGTTTACGGTGTGACGCGGGAACACATAGTCTAAACTAATTTCTCCTTTTGACATGTATCTTATTGTCTCAGTAAACAATGTTTAGGCTTTACAATATGCATCTAAGGATATTCTTATTGATATATTTCTACAATAGTTGTTTTTCATGCGTATATTTAACAGGTTCGCAAGTTATGGGATTCGAACCCACGGCTGCTATCGTCAGTGTCGTGTTCTTCAGCGACGGAGTCAGTGCGGTCATCATTCATCTCGCTGAGCGGGGTGGCGTCGGGCATCATCCTGGCGTACAGTGTGGCTCAGCTCTCACAGTGCTACCCTGACCACACCCCGGACCCCAGCATCCCCCCCAAGATCTGGTTCTTCCCCATCCCCAGGACTGCCTCCCACAACCCCGTCCCCATGCTCCCCAGGCAGATACCAGTCCCAGGTCAGTTACCCTTCCTCTGCCTTAACACAGGCACACCCTCTCCAACCATCCTCATCCCCCATCCACCACGAGCTCCCTCACATACTCCAATAAGTTCAAATTTTTATTCAGGTAAAAGTACACATAATTCCCTGGAAACACAAACCGAAACACTCTATTTTCCGCTTGTTACAACTTGCTATATTGGTTGTTATAACTGGTTAGGTGTTAAAACTTGTTCGAACGTTGTACCAACGTCGTAGTTTCGGTGTGTGTTTGGCGGATACATAGATGATGCGTTACAAACACAATGATGGATTTATAGATATAGATAGGTCTACTTCAGTTTCCGTTCTTCTTATGTTATCATGCAGCTGCATAAAGTTCTCGATTCACAATCAGGGAATTCCGGGTTCGATTTCCGGGTGGGACAAGATTGGTTGGGCACGTTTCCTTTCATCTAATGCCTCTGATCACCTAGCAGTAAATAGGTAGCAGGGAGTTAGGCAATTTGTATTCACCTAGTTGTGCTTGCGGAGGTTGAGCTCTGCTCTTTCGGCCCGCCTCTCTACTGTCAATCAACTGATTTTTTTCCACATCCACACCCAGAAAGCAGTCCGTAACAGCTGTAACTCCCAGGTACCTACTTACTGCTAAATAACAGGGACATCAGGGTGAAAGAAACTGCCCATTTGTTTCTGCCATCACCAGGGATCGAACCTGGACTCTAGAATTACGAGTCCAGAGCGCGGTCCACTCAGCTATCAGGCTATTGTGGGGTTGACCAGACCACACACTAGAAATTGAAGAGACGACGACGTTTCGGTCCGTCCTGGACCATTCTCAAGTCGATTGTGATGAGGACAGGTAGGGACAGGCATTAAATAGGCAAGAGGGAGCTGAGGAGGAAAGTCAGGTGTAGGGGATAGCAGTAATGAGAACTGCAGCAGGCCTATTGGCCCATACGAGGCAGCTCCTATTATAACCACCGAAGGAGATAGTAATAGGAATAAGAAGAGGATAGCAAGGGAGCGTAGAAGACAAGGAACAGAAAAAAGGGAGAAGAGAGAATGAAAGGGAAAGAGAAAGAAAGAAATGGAAGGGGGAAAGCTTATGTTAAGTCACGTTTGTTAGAAAGATTAGAGCATTTGAGTATATACTGTGAAAGGGAAGAGTCCACAGCAACAAAGCCAGGACTCAAGTTCATGTTGGGTACATTGTTAATAAGAGCCGATTCTACAAGACGGCGTCTGTGTAGAGTAGAGGCAGGAAAGATTATTTTGGAGGAAGACCAATCAATGGGATGATTAGAATCCCTCACATGGCAGAAGAGAGCATTGTTAGTGTCAGCAGACTTAACACTTCTCTTGTGTTCTTTAAGTCTGTCATTCAGTGTACGGCCAGTTTCGCCAAAGTATTGGAGAGGACAAGATGAACAGGAAATAGAGTAGACACCAGCAGCATTAGAAGCAGGAGGAGCAGTGTGAACTAGATTGCTACGAAGTGTGTTAGTTTGTCGAAAGGCGAGTTTAATGTCAAGAGGACGAAAGGTATTGGTAAAAGTTTTGAGTTCAGATATGAAGGGAAGGCATAGTACAGTGCTACTAGTGTTGGAAGCAGGTTTAGGATGAAAGAAATTTCGTTTAGCTTGAGAGTGGGCACAGTTGATGAAATGCAAAGGATAACCAAGGCGAGAGAATGATTTGTAGATAAAGGCAATTTCAGAATCAAGAAACTGAGGGTCGCTGATGCGTAGAGTGCGGAGGAAGAGAGAGACGAGGACACTTTTCTTAACAGAAGGAGGATGGTAGGAAAAGAAGTGAATGTACATGCCACTATGCATGGGTTTACGGTAGACAGATAAAGAGAACCCAGACACAGAGCTGTAAACATGAACATCAAAAAAAGGAAGGAGAGAATTAGATTCCCACTCAACTTTGAAATGGATAGAAGGAGCCAGATTGTTAAGAGAGGCGAGGAAAGGCTGGAAAAGATTAAGGTCATGAGGCCATAAAGCAAAAATGTCATCAACATTTGGGGTTGCTCCTTGAGGAAGGTCAACGATATAAGTATACGACCTGGATATAAACCTAAAGTTCATTTTCACTTCCCTGTGTGGCTCAGCTCCATCACCCTGTATGGTACATTTTCATACCCTCTTTAATTCACGTTCTAATTAATTCAATTTTAATTCACGTTCATTGGTCACCTTGACCAGTGACCCGATCTGACCTTGACCAGTGGCTCGACCTGACCTTGACCAGACCTGACCTTGACCAATGACCCGACCTGACCCTGACCAGTGACCCGACCTGACCTTGACCAGTGACCCGACCTGACCTTGACCAGTAACCCGACCTGACCTTGACCAGTGACCCGACCTGACCTTGACCAGTGACCCGACCTGACCTTGACCAGTGACCCGACCTGACCTTGACCAGTGACCCGACCTGACCTTGACCAGTAACTCGACCTGACCTTGACCAGTGACCCGACCTGACCTTGACCAGTGACCTGGCGAGTCACATGTGGCTCCTGAGCCTGTCCCCGAGGCCTCACTATACGTAACACGAACCAGTTCTGGCGGCAGGTGAGGATGAGGTCGACGATGGCTGTGATAGGGACGAGGTCCCACTGGGACTCGACCGCTGCGCTCTCCTGCTGTCCTCGGAGCCCTGCCCCTACAAGCACTGGGTCCTCCTTAACAAGGACACACGGAAGGTAGGTGTCTTCGTGGGTTTGCTGCTTCATTTTGAATGTGCTTCTAAGGTGAGGGACAATGTCAGAAACTTTGATAATCAAAGTGCAGACTTAACAGCCCCTTCTCTCTTGCATGATTACTGCCATCAAATTCAAACTTTGGCAAGCAGGAATTTTTGTAGTTACATCTACAAGTTAAGGATTACAGATGAAATTCAACTGTTTTAATTATAATAAAAACACCTTTTGATTGGTTCCTCTAGTTCCTACATGTTAGTGATAACTGTTGACAGGAAGCCGATGGCTTGTCAAAGGTCCCATTATTGTTTGAGGATTCTTTCCAACTGGATTTTGAACCGAAGCTCTGAAGAAATGTCTTTTGTATTTACGGCTTCAGCTGGTAGGCAGTTTCATGGGTTTATAACCCTATGGTTGAAAAAGTATCTCCTGCTTTTCTGTCTTACAGTGTGGCTTGTTGAGCTTTGTTGCCCCTTAATTGTATGCATTACATTTAACCTTATAATGAAGTGGTCCAGAATATCCTCCAACTCGCTCAGTATTTTAAATGTGATGATCATCATCTGTGGTAACAAAATGTAATGTTATTATGTAACAGTTGTAATAAATAATGTTTCCTTATGGACCAGGGGGAATGTGTACCACGGTTGTGTGCCGACAACTTTGTGTATACTGAAGCAGATCAGATGTGCCACGATGTTAATGAGCCCGGGATGTGTCCGGGCAACAGACGCCTCTACCTCACAGCCTCGGGAAAAGCTGTTTGTGACTGTCCAGAAGGTCAGGCTCATTCTTTTATTGCGTGTTTCTTAATTAGAAAATGTAAGATGGTAAGAGTTTGCAGTTAATCCATCCAATTTAAATTTACACTTTTATGTAGATACTGTATATGCAACATATATATATATTCAGAGAACTTGGACACAAATTTGCATCCTATAGGCTACTTACATTTCATAGGAAATTGGTAAATATTTTCAGATATTTAGTTATAAAGGCAGGTCTTATCAACACAAATATTGTACATAATTATTAATTTGGTCAAAGAACTGAAACAGAGAACAAGCAAAACTTGAATATTACCTGGTCAGATTAGCTGATATTTATTCTTATGAACCAGTACCACTGCTTGATACCTGCTTGATGGGGTTCTGGGAGCATTTCTACTCCCCAAGCCCGGCCCTTGGCTAGGCTTGACTTGTGGGAGCTTGGTCCATCAGGCTGTTGCTTGGAGCGGCCCGCAGGCCCACATACCCACCACAGCCCGGTTGGTCCGGCATATTTTTTTTTCTTCTTTTTTTTTTTTTAGAAAAAAATCTATTTTTTTCTTGAAAATGTCCACGGTTGTTCCGGCAATATTTCTTATATTCGTTGGGAGGCCGTTGAACAACTGTGTATCTCTGATCTTTATACGGTGTTCTCTGATTGTGCCTATGGCACCTCTAAAATTATATGGCACAAAGCCCAGGCTACTGCATTACCTGTCAATTTATTTAGCTCAGTAACCTACACCTTGGAACTGTATATAGAGGAGGAGGATGTGATATATGTGGAGGAGGGTGGCTGGAGTGCTAGGTGATATCTGATTAATGTTTGTGTGCACCTGCCCTTCAGGTATGTTCCCTGGGCCACAAGACACCTGTTACTTCCTCTACGAGCCGGCCTACTGCCAGCAAGGTTCAGTGCTTCAGTTTGACAAGACCACCAAGACCCTTACCTGCAAGGCTGACCCCTGTGGCAACATTAACATGCACCTCTGGCCCGATGATCTCCCGTATGCCCCACGAAAGGACGGTTTCTGCTACCAGTTCAATGAGGTTCAAATTCTACTTAATTTAAATTTACCTATGGATATTTTTCTTGATATTAAAATTTCATGAACTTCACAAAGGGTTCTGGTAATACAGTCAGGTTCGTGTCCGACTCACAACCGGGAATTCCGGGTTCGAATCCCTGGCGGGACATAAATCACCTCATGCTCCTGTCCACCTAGCAGTAAATATGTTCCCAGGAGTTAGCCAGCTTCTTGTGGGGTTGCATCCTGGAGGACCTCAGAATAAGCCCAACATGTATACTGTACATATGCTGATTGCCTGTTCTGACAAAATGACTTACAGAACTTATTCCTAAACATTTAGTTCACAACCCACTTGTTTGTTGAAATTGTTCAGACATGTTAGTTTGTCCCTTCACTGATAAGTCTGTAAAGCATAGATAATAAAACTTTCGTCCATTAGTAGCATATTGTTCATTATTTTGTTGAGTTAATGTTATGTTATATTATTCCCTGCAGCAAGGACCCTGCAAGCGAGGACAGAGGTTTGGTTATGACACTGACCAGCTGGAGGCTACCTGTGTTTCTCTGCAGGAGGCCGGACTCACTCGGCCCCGCAGGTCCTTCATGTTCCACCAGATGTCCTTCCCTGCTGCCCAAGACCAACGATACGACCACTATCAGGTTATACACACTGCTCTTACTGCCTGTTATACTAGGTCTCTGCTCTTACTGCCTGCTATACTAGATCTCTGCTCTTAGTGCCTGCTATACTAGGTCTCTGCTCTTACTGCCTGCTATACTAGGTCTCTGCTCTTACTGCCTGCTATACTAGGTCTCTGCTCTTACTGTCTGCTATACTAGGTCTCTGCTCTTACTGCCTGCTATACTAGGTCTCTGCTCTTACTGCCTGCTATACTAGGTCTCTGCTCTTACTGCCTGCTATACTAGGTCTCTGCTCTTACTGCCTGCTATACTAGGTCTCTGCTCTTACTGCCTGCTATACTAGGTCTCTGCTCTTACTGCCTGCTATACTAGGTCTCTGCTCTTACTGCCTGCTATACTAGGTCTCTGCTCTTACTGCCTGCTATACTAGGTCTCTGCTCTTACTGCCTGCTATACTAGGTCTCTGCTCTTACTGCCTGCTATACTAGGTCTCTGCTCTTAGTGCCTGCTATACTAGGTCTCTGCTCTTACTGCCTGCTATACTAGGTCTCTGCTCTTACTGCCTGCTATACTAGGTCTCTGCTCTTAGTGCCTGCTATACTAGGTCTCTGCTCTTACTGCCTGCTATACTAGGTCTCTGCTCTTACTGCCTGCTATACTAGGTCTCTGCTCTTACTGCCTGCTATACTAGGTCTCTGCTCTTACTGCCTGCTATACTAGGTCTCTGCTCTTACTGCCTGCTATACTAGGTCTCAGCTCTTACTGCCTGCTATACTAGGTCTCTGCTCTTACTGCCTGCTATACTAGGTCTCTGCTCTTACTGCCTGCTATACTAGGTCTCTGCTCTTACTGCCTGCTATACTAGGTCTCAGCTCTTAGTGCCTGCTATACTAGGTCTCAGCTCTTAGTGCCTGCTATACTAGGTCTCTGCTCTTACTGCCTGCTATACTAGGTCTCTGCTCTTACTGCCTGCTATACTAGGTCTCTGCTCTTACTGCCTGCTATACTAGGTCTCTGCTCTTACTGCCTGCTATACTAGGTCTCTGCTCTTACTGCCTGCTATACTAGGTCTCTGCTCTTACTGCCTGCTATACTAGGTCTCTGCTCTTAGTGCCTGCTATACTAGGTCTCTGCTCTTACTGCCTGCTATACTAGGTCTCTGCTCTTACTGTCACCTCTAGCAGGTGTGTCTGCTCTTATTGTCACCTCTGCAAGGTCACATTGCTCTTGCTGTCACCACAGCCAGGTGACATCTAGTTTTGTATATGCCAGACAGCTGTTAGAAACCTAAATCTGGACTATTTCAAGACAATACACACAACGTAAATCAGACCAGTTTTAAAATATGCAGTACCAACATGACATTTCCACTTTGTGATACTGTACAGTACTCTAAATGAAAAGATTGAAGAAGTTCAAAGGTTTGCAACAAAATAACTTAAGATATGCAGGTGGTTAAGGAAGCACACCCTTACAACCTTGTAAGATTTGAGCACCAGAGAAAATATGATCACAATATACAGGATCTTTGGGGAAAAATATAAGATGGATATAAATTTTGTTCAAATGAGTAATAAGAAAGTACAGTAGTTGTATGTAGGACAGATGTGTAGTGGAAGGAAGCAAAAGTCCGTCCACATTTTCAAGTGCCAGCAACATTGAGAACCAGGTGGATATTACAGTAACAGATACCAATAGCTTCAAGGAGCCCAAGAATTAGATCTCACTTATCATAAACATGCATTAATCCTACTGCTGTTTCTACCAAGTTATGCATGCTACCTTTTAATATGACCAAGATGGTGATTGCTCCCAACTTGTCCAGTCCTCCAGGTGCGAGTTGACTTGCAGCCACTAATATATCACATCCTCTGCCATGTGTGTCACAGCCACTAGCTTGTCCAGTCTTTCACTAACTTATCCAATCCTCTACCAGGTTTGTCCTCCACTAACTTGTCCACTCTCCACCAGGTGTCGTATATCATTATGAATGGAACTACATGGGATCTGGAAGTGAAGGGTATCAAAAGGAAAAGAAGGGACATCTCTAGGGCCTCTGTGGGAGGTCCTCATTTCCTGCACTCTGGTCACATGGTTGTGCCTTTCCTGGACACTCGGGACATCCCCCGTGACCTCTACCCAATAAAAAAATTGCGTCATCCCCGCTGGGTGGCTCGCAGAAGAACCAGGAGGGGTAAGAACCACTCCCGTCGCCACTTAAAAATCCGTAACCAAAGAAGCCATGGCAATGGTAGCCACTCTACTATTATTACAGATGGAGCTCTCAACTTGTCCTTAGGTCTGGGTGGTGGAGGAGCACAAGAGAACTCACGAAGAAGGAGTACAGCCCAACACAGAGCACGGTCAAGGAGTAGGAAGAATAGGGGACAAGGCACTACAAAAGGCCAAACACATACCATTAGAGAGCATAGTGTCCCGTGGCCGTCTGGCAACACCACTAAGCACGAGAACTTTGATCACAGCGGTATTGTCAAGGTGAGAGTAGATTTAGAGCTTAAAAGAGAAAATGTAAGATGACATAAAACTTTAAATCACTGAATTTTAAATATTAGGAATTATTATTAACATAATAGGATGTTAAGAAGATTCATATTAAATGTTAACCAAAATCATGCCTTTATTGTAGAAGCTGCAGTAGAGACTTGTCCTTTTCTCTTAACACTTTTGTAGACAACCTGTGCTAGCAGCAGCCTTTGCTGGTCTCTAGTACAGATGGGTTCATTCTCAGCTCACAATCGGGAATCCCGGATTCAGATCTCAGGTGGGACATGTTTCCTTTCACCTAATGCCTCTGTACACCTAGCAGTAAATAGGTACCTGGGAGTTAGTTAACTGTTGTAGGGTTGCATCCTGGGCAGGGTCAGTGGTTCAACCTTGGGGGGAACCTTGATGCCAGCCTAACATATATACATGTATAGCCTGTCTGCCCCGCGACAAAACTAATTAAAATTAAAAGATGGGTGTTGTTGGGTAGATGAAGCTGTGCTCAAAGTGAGCAGCCTCTTATTATAAAGAACCATCAGAAACAATTACCAGAATTGTCAAGAAGAAAAAGTCAAGTGTGTGATTGTTTTAAGTTGACAGCTGTTTTCAAAACACTTAATGAGGAGAGTTTATTAGTACACTAGATAACATTTGGCAATGAGATCAGATCTAAGAAAGTTCATTAGAGCAACTTGTTAACTACAAATAAAATCTCCTAATTTGGTATTTTTGTACAACTTTTGAGTGTTGTTATCCAATCTTCAAAGAGGGAGTTTATGCATTATTTCAGAGTGTGCCCAAGTAACTATTAAATGTAAATTTACATCTGGGTTCACTTGTGATTGTGCAGGTGAACCAGACGGCACTGGCAGCCCCAGTCGTGGTCCAGCAGACCATCCCATCAAAGACCAGAAATGGACAATCAGCCCTACACAGTGAGCACAGACAGAATACTAGTTCCAGTGGTCATAAAGGTAAGAAAGGTCGTGGTCGTAGGAAGAAAGGTCATGGAGCAAATGACAAGAAGAAAAAAGATCACAGGCGTGGCTCAAGGCGTGGTCGCAAGAGAAAGAAGAGACCTAATGTGTCAAAGAATTCCACCCAGACAAAGCGGAAACGGAAAAACCCCAAGTTACCATTTCGTGTGCCAACTCTGTCGCCACCAACAGAAGGGAACGCATCTACCACCACTGTAGAAAACACTGCAAGGGTTATTACTAATGTCAGTTCTGGTAATACTGGCATCAGCAAAGGTGCTAAAGCACCTAAAGGTGAATTTTCAGAAGATGAACTAGATGCTGAAGAAGAGTCACAGCAGTCATCCTCATCAGAGATATCCCTACCCAAGTACCTGCGTCACCGTGGCAGGCGACAGCTGGGGGAAGGTGGTGGCATCATACAAGCACCTTTGCTGAGTGCTTGCAAACCTGGTGCCAAGAGGGATTACAATTACAAGTGTCGCCCAAAATTTATACCCCAAGAGAGGGATCGACGAGGAACAGGAAGTGTGGGATCCCGCAGCAAGCTCACACCTCGCCCACCCAGGATATCTTGCCCAGAGGTCAGTCTTTTGTGCCTTCTCTTAAACTGTTGTTTATATTCCAGTACTTCATCATTCACATTTACTTAACACAATTTCCTTCTCTCTCCCCTCATCACTAACTTTTATAAATGCTCACATGCACACCAATACAATTTTCAACTAGCCTTGGGAGCTGCACCAAAATATAAGAGCAAGCCTATTAGCATTGAGTGTCTGTGCCTTGTCAGTCATCTAGCAAGCAGAAAAAAGGAAAGAACCAGTAAAAAGGTTCTTTCTGGGGGGAGCCCCTAGTGGCTACCTGAAGCTGTCTCGCACAGTCTATCTCCACAAGGGTGGAGAAGGGTCACATCAGATGTGACTCATTTGTATGGAGTAATCTGAGTTTTTTTTTTCTGTAATAAAATATTTAGCCAGCCATAGATAGCAGGTAGTGGCAAGATCAGTTGTGGAGGTTAGTATGTGACTGTGGCACACTGTTTCCTTTTGAATTCTGGTGACCCTGACCATCCTATATCCATCCCATACCTCAGATCATTCACCATTAAAAGTTCAGTTAAGCTATTCCCAAGCATCTGGCCTCCAATCTTGGACAGACAAATGAACATTCTCTTTTATATATAAATATAGACTTAGGGGTTAGTTTTGTAAGGACTCAGCATTAGGATATTGTTCACCTGTAAGGTAGGAGGAAAGAACACTGACCCTATGATGTTTACACAACGTTTTACATGCTTGCCAATTGTAGAATTGTTTATGCATCAGATCCGTATGTCAAAATATAAAGTGTCATCTTAGATTAGTACGGTTTGGTCAAGTGGGTCGAAAGCAGTGAATCCAAAATGTTTTTCTTACTTCCTCTTTGTTCTATAAACCCATTTCCAGTGCCCCATACTTCATTTTGTACCTTCAATGCCATTATGATCTATTCTAAAACCAGAGTGTAGAGTGATCAATTCTGCACTTGGGAAGAACAGTCTCTTGGTGCTGCCCTTGGTGCTATGATTACCCCTTAGGGGACGGTACTGCCCACTTTGTCAATAACTAATCTAAAACTTTGATTTATAAATTATTATAAATTAAGTGCCAGCTTGAAAGTACATGACAAACTGGACTGAGCTTCAAAGTTGTTATTAAGTACTAATGAACTATCCTCCTCCAGGGTACGCGTCTGGATCCCCGAGGGAAGTGTCAGCAGGTGAGCTGATTTGATCACGAGTTGTCAGCCTCCTGGTGGGACCCTTCACCTGGGTGTGTCACCAGTCATCAGCCTCCTGGTGGGACCCTTCACCTGGGTGTGTCACCAGTCATCAGCCTCCTGGTGGGACCCTTCACCTGGGTGTGTCACCAGTCATCAGCCTCCTGGTGGGACCCTTCACCTGGGTGTGTCACCAGTCATCAGCCTCCTGGTAGGACCCTTCACCTGGGTGTCACCAGTCATCAGCCTCCTGGTGGGACCCTTCACCTGGGTGTGTCACCAGTCATCAGCCTCCTGGTGGGACCCTTCACCTGTGTGTCACCAGTCATCAGCCTCCTGGTAGGACCCTTCACCTGGGTGTCACCAGTCATCAGCCTCCTGGTGGGACCCTTCACCTGGGTGTGTCACCAGTCATCAGCCTCCTGGTAGGACCCTTCACCTGTGTGTCACCAGTCATCAGCCTCCTGGTGGGACCCTTCACCTGGGTGTGTCACCAGTCATCAGCCTCCTGGTGGGACCCTTCACCTGGGTGTGTCACCAGTCATCAGCCTCCTGGTGGGACCCTTCACCTGGGTGTGTCACCAGTCATCAGCCTCCTGGTGGGACCCTTCACCTGTGTGTCACCAGTCATCAGCCTCCTGGTAGGACCCTTCACCTGGGTGTCACCAGTCATCAGCCTCCTGGTGGGACCCTTCACCTGGGTGTGTCACCAGTCATCAGCCTCCTGGTGGGACCCTTCACCTGTGTGTCACCAGTCATCAGCCTCCTGGTAGGACCCTTCACCTGGGTGTCACCAGTCATCAGCCTCCTGGCGGGACCCTTCACCTGGGTGTGTCACCAGTCATCAGCCTCCTGGTAGGACCCTTCACCTGTGTGTCACCAGTCATCAGCCTCCTGGTGGGACCCTTCACCTGGGTGTGTCACCAGTCATCAGCCTCCTGGTGGGACCCTTCACCTGGGTGTGTCACCAGTCATCAGCCTCCTGGTGGGACCCTTCACCTGGGTGTGTCACCAGTCATCAGCCTCCTGGTGGGACCCTTCACCTGGGTGTGTCACCAGTCATCAGCCTCCTGGTGGGACCCTTCACCTGGGTGTGTCACCAGTCATCAGCCTCCTGGTAGGACCCTTCACCTGGGTGTCACCAGTCATCAGCCTCCTGGTGGGACCCTTCACCTGGGTGTGTCACCAGTCATCAGCCTCCTGGTGGGACCCTTCACCTGTGTGTCACCAGTCATCAGCCTCCTGGTAGGACCCTTCACCTGGGTGTCACCAGTCATCAGCCTCCTGGTGGGACCCTTCACCTGGGTGTGTCACCAGTCATCAGCCTCCTGGTAGGACCCTTCACCTGTGTGTCACCAGTCATCAGCCTCCTGGTGGGACCCTTCACCTGGGTGTGTCACCAGTCATCAGCCTCCTGGTGGGACCCTTCACCTGGGTGTGTCACCAGTCATCAGCCTCCTGGTGGGACCCTTCACCTGGGTGTGTCACCAGTCATCAGCCTCCTGGTGGGACCCTTCACCTGTGTGTCACCAGTCATCAGCCTCCTGGTAGGACCCTTCACCTGGGTGTCACCAGTCATCAGCCTCCTGGTGGGACCCTTCACCTGGGTGTGTCACCAGTCATCAGCCTCCTGGTGGGACCCTTCACCTGTGTGTCACCAGTCATCAGCCTCCTGGTAGGACCCTTCACCTGGGTGTCACCAGTCATCAGCCTCCTGGCGGGACCCTTCACCTGGGTGTGTCACCAGTCATCAGCCTCCTGGTAGGACCCTTCACCTGTGTGTCACCAGTCATCAGCCTCCTGGTGGGACCCTTCACCTGGGTGTGTCACCAGTCATCAGCCTCCTGGTGGGACCCTTCACCTGGGTGTGTCACCAGTCATCAGCCTCCTGGTGGGACCCTTCACCTGTGTGTGTCACCAGTCATCAGCCTCCTGGTGGGACCCTTCACCTGGGTGTATCACCAGTCATCAGCCTCCTGGTGGGATCCTTCACCTGGGTGTATCACCAGTCATCAGCCTCCTGGTAGGACCCTTCACCTGGGTGTGTCACCAGTCATCAGCCTCCTGGTGGGACCCTTCACTTGGGTGTGTCACCAGTCATCAGCCTCTTGGTGGGACCCTTCACCTGGGTGTATCACCAGTCATCAGCCTCCTGGTGGGACCCTTCACCTGGGTGTGTCACCAGTCATCAGCCTCCTGGTGGGACCCTTCACCTGGGTAGATCACATCCTTCTAGCAAGAACCTTCACCTTGACATAGGCTGTGATATATCACCATGATTGCCAGCAAACTCTTGCTGGTGATCTCCCGCATCTTAATCACGATGATTAAATAAGAATCCTCATTAAATTTAAGGGATTACTAGTCTTATATAAACACACAGCATTTTCTGGTCTTCTGATACAATTGGCTGCATTATCTTGGTGAATGTAAAGAAACAAAGCTGGACCAGCGAGTGATGGAACAGTCTTCCTCATCTCTATTGGTGACTGACACTAGTCATCATCCTGGTACTACTGGGCAACTTCACAGCTTGATCTTGTGGCATCTCTGATGGAAGGCCAAATCCCATCATCATCCATATTATGTACGGGTCAGCCATCACTAAAGGGTTAACTTGGGCTGTTTTCCCTCTATACCTGCTGCTACTCAAAGACCTTGCATCAGCCTCGTAAGTTTACCAAGTGTTGTTATCCTTGCATTACACATGCTAGAAAATACCTAATTATTGTTAATGCAGTAAGTAAATTTCTCACTGACATGACAGTTGCAGAAAATGAGTTAATTTACCCGATACAAAACAGCCATGTTTTAAATGTTAAAAGTTAATCAATTTGTCGGGTTTTAAGGACATGCTTGAGCCTGGTGATCATAGTGTGACAAGCAGAAATATGATGATGTGAGCACCAGATACTGATACTGTAACTAAGACTTCCTGAAATTATCTTAAGGTCAGAAAATGTACATTCATATATACATTACCTCATTTAATCATAGCTTTACTTCCATTAAATTTTACAACAAAAATGGGCATGACACATTAGTTTGTAAAACGTAATGGATAATTTAATTGGTATCTTTAATCTAACTTATGATGGCCAAATGTTGGTTCTTTTTATACTAAATGTTGCCACATTACAGATTGAATGTCATAGTCTTTGCAATTTAGATTAAGTAGCATGGAATATGCAACTTGAAATTAATAAATTTACTGTATCAAGATACAAATTTAATGTTCCTTGCCAAATACTGTACTAGTATGGTGTGTGTGGATGCAACATAAAAAATTGAGCTTGTAGAGACGTCTTGTAATTACCTGTGTGTAATTACAGGATGAAGGCTACGCTCATGGTGTTGCATCTTCCCAGTACAGTACTGTCATATGATGCTTTAAAACTACCGACTGTTTTGGTGTCCACTGCCTCCTCACTTATCGTGTTCAAACTGTACCACTGCAAAAAGTGGACTTTCTATTACATTTCTGGGACCATTGTTTCCTTAGTTTGACCTCTTGTTTTTGAAGTTGCAGGTTTAAAGATTTCCTTTGTTAATTTTGTAGATTCCCATTACTATTTTGTATATAGTAATCAAATTGCCTCTTACTTTTATCTTCTAGCTTTGGCATATTTAACACCTTTAGGTGTTATTTTTCAGTTCAAGAGCCATTTAACAGAATGACTGCACATTTTCCAGTTTATTAATGTGCTATTTGATATATGGGCCCAATACATCTGCTGCATATTCTAATTTCGGTCTCACAAAAGGTCATGAACAATTTCTATAATATTTCACAATGCATGTATTTTTAAGTGATTCAAGAGTTAAACATGGTATATGCTCCTTGCACAATGTCCTTTATGTGGTCCTCTGGTGACAGTCTACTAGCCAAAATCACCTCTGGAATTTTCGATCTGGACATGCACCCAGAACCCTCTTCAGGTATGCCTCTGCCTCCCTCACTACATCTCTCCTGCCACTCTCCCTTCCTCCATCTCACTACCTCTATCCCTCAAACTGTGTCTCACCGCACCAGCACAGATTTAGTAAAGGCAAATCCTGCTTGACAAACTTGGAGTTCTGTAACAAGATAATGAAATCAAACAAGCAAGAGAAGGATGGGCAGATTGCATATTCCTTGATTGTCAGAAAGCATTTGATACAATCCCACATGAAAGACTTAAACTAGAGAAGCAAGCTGGTGTATTGCGAAGAGCCCCAAGGTGGGTCAGAGTACATCGCTCAGGCAGGAAGCAAAGGGTTACAGTGAGGTGTGAATCGTCAGAATGGAGAGGTTACGAGTGGAGTACCACAAAGGTCAGTTCTAGGGCCTATACCGTTTCTAATAAATGTCAACCTGACAGGAAAATGGTTCCTTCATAGCAATGTTTGCAGACGATTCAAAATTGATGAGAATAGCCAGGACAGAGATTGTGAGGCATTGCAAATGGATTTGGTCATACTCCAGAAATGGTCTGAAAAATGGATGCTAGAGTTTAACCAAGCTAAATGTAAAATTATTAGGATTGGAGCAAGAGTGTGAAGGCCAGTGCAGTAGTATAAGATGAAGGAAAGAGATTCTTCAATCAGAAAAGGAAAAAGACCTGGTAATCCTAACATAACTCCAAATCTGATGCCAGACCCCCACATTCTCAGAATAACACCTGCATATGGCATTCTTGCCAACATCCATGTATCCTTCAGAAATTTGGGGAAAGGGTCTTTCCAGGCCCTATATACAATGAAGGTGAAACCCACACTTGAATCTTCAGCATATAAAAGGACAAGGAAAAACTAGAAAAAGTTCAGATATGACAAAAAAAAAAAAAGATTCCTTCCCGAGTTGAAGGGAATAAGCTATGAGGGAACGTGTCCTTACCACACTGAAGGAAAGGAGAGTGGGGGAGATATGATAACATAAGATTCTAAGGAAAATTAATAAGGTAGACAAAGCAGCATTGTTCAATGCTAGGAACAGCAGAATGAGGGGTCATAGATGGAAACCTAAGTCACAGATGTCAGAAAAACATTTTTCAGTGCCCGAGCTATCAATCAATAGGTGAAACAGGTTAGACATAGAAGTTGAAGCTAATTTGATTCAAAGATTTAAATGTAAACATGACAAGAGCATGAGAAATAAGCATTGCATTAATCTAAGAACATTTGGAAAGGAGGGAGAGGGGGGGGGGGTAGGTAACCTACCTTGACCTTGCAAGCACATCTAGGCAAGTACACACAAGGGCAACGACCTCATGGCTAACTTGAACAGTACACGTGGGTCAACATTGAAGGGCTGAACGCTATCCCAGAGATAATTAGGAATACCAACCCAACAATGCCCACTTTCAGTATCCACTCGATTTAACGGCCTATATGGGGCTGTACCCTGGTCGTTATTTCCGGAGCTCCGGTATTTCCGAAGTTAACTGTCGGTAATTTTTCAAGCAACGTTCAGGTAAGATATATTTTATACAGACAGCCACTGGGTCCACCACTCTAGTGCCTTCTACCCTGTGACGTCACAGATTTAAACGATTCTTCGCGGCAGGGGATCGTATTCCAGGGACCATAGGATTAAGGACTTGCCCGAAACGCTACGCGTACTAGTGGCTGTACAAGAATGTAACAACTCTTGTATATATCTCAAAAAAAAAAAAAAAAAAAAAAAGATTCACGACACATTGTTTTGATTTGTCATGAGGCTGGAGTATTCATTCCGTTACTTTGTTGGACATATCGGCACAATCAAAGAACATCCGTGCACCATGTCGGCTCCAAATGCACTCGTTGTGTCAGTGATGGCTGACTGGTGGGTGGATGGGCAGGCAGGCAGGGATGGAGAGGCTGAAATGTAGGCAGGCAGGGAGAGGCTGGGAGGTAGGCAGGGAGGGAGAGGCAAGAAGGAAGGCAGATGCTGGGTGGTAGGCAGGGAGGGACAGGCAAGGAGGGAGGGAGGGAGGCAGGCAGGGCTTGGGAGGGCGGCAGGTAGGCAGGAAGAGGCTGGGTGGTAGGCATGGAGGGAGGGAGGCAGGCAGAGGCTGAGTGGTAAGCGGGAAGGGAGGGAGACAGCTGGGTGGTAGGCAGGGAGGGAGCAGCAAGGAGCGGTCCATAGAATTACCCAAATCAGCCCAAATCGGCCCAAAACTACACAAATCGTCCTAGCATTACGTAAGTAATGAAGAAATATGGTATATTTACTTACTATAATGTTGGTGCTACACGTAGAACATGATCAAACCTATTTTTACTCTGAAATAATTTAATTTCATAACGAAATGAGACGTAAATATGTGAGAGGTGACGCCATAGGAAGTCTACGGTCCAAGCGACAATTGTGTGGAGCGACTTATCCAAGATATATGGTCGCCCGGAGAGTGTTTGCTGCCATATCAGCCTCCTGTACACAGTGATCCAGTCCTTTTCGTTCATTGAACACCGAACCCTACACGCCCTCTGATATATTGCTTAATTAACAAATATTCACAAATAAAGATTATATTTGTATATGTTATCAGAAAGGCAGATATAAAATAGTTTTTCTGACCAGGGGGAGAAAGATACTGGCAGTATGGGGCGTTAAAGTTTATTGAAGATTAAATTCTGCAGAACATGTAAATGTATAAAGTTCAAATATAAAGTAAGTAATTATATAAAGTTTATATTAAACACGGTTTATATTATAGGCTTATAACAAAGTTGATATTATTAAACTTAATATTGAACATGTAAATATATAAAGTTTCAAAATATATAATTTAAGGACTATATAACGTTTATATTAAAATATATAAAGTAAATATATAAAGTAAGAATTAACAGTAACAATTCCAAGTCCGAGGACTAGATTTAACTTAAAAGGTACACCCGTAGTAAGTATGAGACCTTAGCCTATAGTGACATGGAAACTAATTCTGCAGAAACCTAAAGGTTAACTGGTACTAGAATTAAGGCCGAGTACAAATGTGTAGTAATTATATAACACTAGGATATAACAGGCAGGACACAAAGAATAACTAATAAGTGAGAGACCACATAACACGTAATGTACCCGGCCAAGAGGCCGTAAAAGACCTAATGGATAAGGAGAAGGGGGTGTGACTACAAGTAGGGCTTACTAGCACCTAGACTGGGCAAAGTATTAGCTGCGGACAGCGGGACACTTGGGGACCGGCGCTGCACCCCCCTTCCCACATGCAGTGGGGAGACAATCGGGACAACTGTGCAAAGCATGACGGGGGTACAAAAGCAGCCGCTTGCAAAGGGGGGGAGGGTGGGGTTTTGCGAGGGCAGCGGCGAGGGCAGGCGGAGTGAGGCAGAGCCCCAGTGTGCGCCCGTATTTATACGACCCCAAACTGCCCGCGCAACGCCGCGGGACGCGCTGCGCAATTGTTTCTTTCTCCCCCGCCAGAAAAATCCCCGCTTGCGATCAAGCAGTGACCATTTTCTGACCAGGGGGAGAAAGATACTGGCAGTATGGGGCGTTAAAGTTTATTGAAGATTAAATTCTGCAGAACATGTAAATGTATAAAGTTCAAATATAAAGTAAGTAATTATATAAAGTTTATATTAAACACGGTTTATATTATAGGCTTATAACAAAGTTGATATTATTAAACTTAATATTGAACATGTAAATATATAAAGTTTCAAAATATATAATTTAAGGACTATATAACGTTTATATTAAAATATATAAAGTAAATATATAAAGTAAGAATTAACAGTAACAATTCCAAGTCCGAGGACTAGATTTAACTTAAAAGGTACACCCGTAGTAAGTATGAGACCTTAGCCTATAGTGACATGGAAACTAATTCTGCAGAAACCTAAAGGTTAACTGGTACTAGAATTAAGGCCGAGTACAAATGTGTAGTAATTATATAACACTAGGATATAACAGGCAGGACACAAAGAATAACTAATAAGTGAGAGACCACATAACACGTAATGTACCCGGCCAAGAGGCCGTAAAAGACCTAATGGATAAGGAGAAGGGGGTGTGACTACAAGTAGGGCTTACTAGCACCTAGACTGGGCAAAGTATTAGCTGCGGACAGCGGGACACTTGGGGACCGGCGCTGCACCCCCACCGCAGGCCAGCGGCCGGACCCCCCCCCAAATAGTTTTTGTGAATCCATCACAGAGATTATACCTTATTAGAGAGGAAAAATATTCATACTTTAAACAAGGCTTCATGGCCGACGCTCTCCTTACCGATATGGG